GTTTGAGGCCAGCCTGGCTACATAAGGACACTCTGTCTTAAAACAGATTTAAAAATATTCTTTAAAAAAAATCAACAACTGTATTTTTTTCCTTTTTTAAAAAAAGGCAGAAAGGATTTAGGAAATAAAATTTTAACAGAGATAGGAAAATTAGTAAAAATGATTAGTAAAAATAAGCATGGCCAGGGTATGAAGCAACTCTTTTTTCTTTTTTTCTTTTTTTCAGTTGTGGGGCCTGAACTCTGGGCCTGGGTGCTGTCCCTCAGCTCTTCAGCTCAAAGCTAGCGTTCTACCACTTGAGCCACAGCGCCACTTCTGGCTTTTTCTGCTTTATGTGGTGCTGAAGAATCAAACCCAGGGCCTCATGCATGTGAGGCAAGCACTCTACCACTGAACCACTTTCCCAGCCCCTGAAGCAACTCTTAAGAAAGTAGGAGACCCTTCTGGGTGGCACCTTTGTTGGTTGAGACATCTGAAGTTAGAGCCTTGTCTTAAGAGAGCCTTGCTGCCACTCTGCTCCCAAACAGTATGACTGCATATGTGTGGCTCAGAAACCAGGAACTCAAAACTGCAAGCACTGGAGCCTCACACCTGTAATTCTAGCTATTCAAGAACATATGAGGATCATGGTTCAAAGCCAGCTCTGAGCAGAAAAGTCCTTGAGGCTTGTATATCCAGCAAAAAGCCAAAAATGGAGCTGTGGCTTAATTGGTAGAGCCCTTACCTTGAATGAAAACTAAGCAAGAACAAGGAGGCCTTGAGTTCAAGTCCCCTACTGTCACATACACACAAAAGAAGTGATTATGAGCCAGGCACCAGTGGCTCACACCTGTAATCCTAGCTTCTCAGGAGGCTAAGATCTGAAGATCACAGTTCAAAGCCAGCCCAGGCAGGAAAGTCCGAGAGTCTCTTATCTCCAATTAGCCACCAGAAAACTGGAAGTGCCGCTGTGGCTTAAGCCATAGAGTGTTGGCTTTGAGCTGAAGAGCTCAGGGTCAGCGCCCAGGCTCAGAGTTCAAGCCCCAAGACGGACAAAAAGAACAATGAACAAGTGATTGTTTCCGGTGCCTCAGGACAGTATGCCCAGCAAACTCAGTATCCTGGGAAGGGAAGATCCTGGGTTGGAGTAGAGGCTGGGCTGGGGCCTCTGCTTTGCCATTAACAAGCTACAGGACCCCAGGCAGATTGCTTCCCCTCTTTGTGCCTTCCTTTAGTTTTCTCTCTGCAAATAGCTATTGTAAAGGTTAGTGAACTACATACAGCAGGCCTGGTCCCTAGTGCTTACTGTGGTGTTAAGTACACAAATGTGTTGGGTAGGGGGGAAAAAATGTAATGAATAAAAGAAACTCTGTTAATGAGTAAAACTATACCACAATAGTTGATTGAAAAGAAAATATCCCAAAGGTAAATAAATGGATGATCATCCAATCCAACATTGAAAAACTAATAACTTAAGTTTGTTGCTAAAAGAATAGAAAGATATTTTAATTTCCACCCTGAAGCATATATGAAAATATGCTTTAATTTCCGCCCCCAAAGCCCTTTGCAGTTTATTTAGACAGGAAAGATAAACACGTAAAACAAAACAGTGTGCAGAATCAGAGCCTGTCCATTATCACCGGATGCTGATAAGCTCTTTCCACCACAGCAAGATGATTAGATAAATAATATTATAGGAGTAGCCTCAAATAGTGTGTGCTGACATACAGTAAGGATGTATAGGCACATGGTGACAGGCGATGGCACTCGAACAGAAGCTGATTCAAGAGGAGTGAGTCTCCTATAAGTTTTAGCGAACCAAAATCAATGTGGAGAAGTGTTAAATCAGATATGTAGTACTTGGTTACCTTAATGAGTTAGTATTTAACTAGGGGTTAAGGAAATTTTACAGCAATTTGGACCAACTTCCATTAAGTGGATAGGAATAGTTCCCTAAACAGCATGGCCATGCTGCCTTTCCCTACTTGTGCCAGGTACATACCTGTATGTAGTGCTAAAGGTTTCAAAAGATGCTGGCCCACTGAATGCAAAGAGAGATCACAGTTTGAAAAGAATAACAAAGACAGAATGGTTGAATGTGCAAATGAAATAGATTTTTTCAAAAGAAAGGATGGATAAAGAGATTGATGGGAGCTGGGCAAAGGTGGCTCCCACCTGTAATTCAACTACTCCGGAGATCTCAGTTGAAAGCCATCCCAGGCAGGAAAATCCATGACAGTCTTATCTCCAGTTAACCATCAAAAAGCCAAACAATGGGGCTGGGAAGGTATCTCAGTGGTAGAATGGGGCTCAGTGGTAGAGTGCTTGCCTCACATGCCTGAGGCCCAGGGTTCGATTCCTCAGCACCACATAAGCAGAAAAAGTCGGAAGTGGCTCTGTGGCTCAAGT